ATTATTTTTCCCGTATGTGCTTGCTGTTTACAGCTAACAATAAATTAAATCATTTTATGGTCACTGCTACCCTGCTGCTCTTTTATATGTGCTGTTTAGACTTTCCTTATTTCTTTTTGTTGTCCTTCCTTTTTTATGCTGGCCAACAAATCTTCTAATTTTTCTCCTTATATTGCAAGGTGATTAGGGCTTAACATTCAAACAAATTTAATTTCTAATTCCAGCAGTGAAAGGGGTTAACCTGAGCTCAGTTTTCTGATAATTAAACGGTGTCAGACAAGAATGCACCCCTTTAAATCCTATGGAACTCTTCTCACTGGTCTGATATGTTTCAGTTGCATTTTTAAAAGTCCTACTTGCTGCATTTTTGGTGTGTATTTGTTGCGTATTGGGGCCCTTTCGCAATGATCAGATTTTGAGTTAAAAAAGTGGATCATATATACACTATATTGCCAAAAGTATTGGGACACCCCTCCATATCATTGGATTCAGGTGTTCCAATCACCTCCATGGCCGCAGGTGTATAAAATCAAGCACCTAGGCATGCATACTGCTTCTACAAACATATACTAAATATTCCACGGTCAACTGTTTCTGGTATTATAATAAAGTGGAAGTAACTGGGAACAACAGCAGCTCAGCCACGAAGTGGTAGGCCATGTAAAATGACAGAGCAGGGTCAGCGCATGCTGAAGCACACCGTGCACAGAAGTCACCAACTGTCTGCAGAGTCAATAGCTAAAGACTTCCAATATTTGTGTGGCCTTCAGATCAGCAGAACAGTGCACCGAGAGCTTCATGGAATGGGTTTCCATGGCCAAGCAGCTGCATCCAAGCCTTACATCACCAAGTGCAATGCAAAGCGTTGGATGCAGTGGTGTAAACCATGCCGCCACTGGACTCTAGAGTAGTGGAGACGTATTCTCTGGAGTGACGAATCACGCTTCTGTGTCTGACAATCCGATGGACATGTCTGGGTTTGGCGGTTGCCAGCAAAATGGTATTTGCCTGACTCATTGTGTCAAGTATAAAGTTTGGTCGAGGTGCGATTGTGGTGGGGTTGTTTTTCAGGGGTTGGGATTTGCCCCTTTCTTTCCAGTGAAGGGAAATCTTAAGGCATCAGAATACCAAGTCATTTTGGACAATTTCATGCTCCCAACTTTTTGGGAACAGTTTGGGGATGGCCCCTTCCTGTTCCAACATGACTGCGCACCGGTGCACAAAGCAAGGTCTATAAAGACATGGATGAGCGAGTTTGGGGTGGAGAAACTTGACTGGCCTGCACAGAGTCCTGACCTCAACCCAATAGAACACCTTCCGGATATATTAGAGCGGAGACTGTGAGCCAGGCCTTCGCATCCAACATCAGTGTCTGACCTTACAAATGTACTTTTGGAAGAATGGTCAAACATTCTTCTATCATTTGAATGTCACAGCAGGCAGTCTGCCCATTCTCCTCTGACATGAACAAGGCATTTTTGTCCACACAACTGCCGTTCACTGGATATTTTCTCTATTTCAGACCATTCTCTGTAAACCCTAGAGATGGTTGTGTGTTAAAATCCCAATAGATCAGCAGTTTTTGAAATACTCAGACCAACCTGTTTGGCACCTACAACCATGTCATGTTCAAAGTCACTTAAATCCTGTTTTCCCAATTCTGATGCTCGGTTTGATCTTCAGCAAGCCGTCTTAACCACGTCTAGATGCCTAAATGCTTTGGGTTGCTCCCATGTGATTGGCTGATTAGCAATTTCTGTTACCAAGCAATTGAACAGGAGTACCTAATAAACTAGCCGGTGAGTTTGTGTATGTGTATATATATATATATACAGTTGTGTTCAAAGTAATAGCAGTGTGTTGAAAAATGTGAATAAAGGTCAAAATCCTTCTAATAGCTTTTATTTCCATACACACAAATGCATTGGGAACACTACACATTCTATTCCAAATCAAAACATGAAGAAAAATATATCAAATTTGTGTTGTTCCTCTGAAAAAAATTAAAGGAAAGTGAATATTAGACTGTTCAAAAAAATAGCAGTGTTTGTATTCTTCTTTACAAACTCAAACATTCACTATATAAACTGAAAAATGTTTGAAGATTTTGCTTTCCTTTGAATCACTTAATTAATATTTAGTTGTATAAGCACTGTTTCTGAGAACTGCTGTACATCTGTGTTGCATGGAGTCAACCAACTTCTGGCACCTGTGAACAGGTATTCCAGCCCAGGATGATTGGACTACATTCCACAGTTCTTCTCTATTTCTTGGTTTTGCCTCAGAAACTGCATTTTTGATGTCACCCCACATTTTTTTTCTATTGGATTAAGATCCGGGGATTGGGCTGGCCACTCCATAACGTCAATCTTGTTGGTCTGGAAGCAAGATGTTGCACGTTTACTGGTGTGTTTGGGGTCGTTGTCTTGTTGGAACACCCATTTCAAGGGTATTTCCTCTTCAGCATAAGGCAGCATGACCTCTTCAAGTATTCTGATGTATTCAAACTGATCCATGATCCCTGGTATGCGATAAATAGGCCCAACACCGTAGTATGAGAAACATCCCCATATCATGATGCTTGCGCAACCGTGCTTCACTGTCTTCACAGTGTACTGTGGCTTGAATTCAGTGTTTGGGGGTCGTCTGACAAACTGTTTCCGGCCACTAGACCCAAAAAGAACAATCTTACTTTCATCAGTCCACAAAATGTTGCGCCATTTCTCTTTAGGCCAGTCAATGTGCTCTTTGGCAAATTGTAACCTCTTCAGCACGTCTTTTTTTCAATAGTGGGACTTTACAAGGGCTTCTTGCAGATAGCTTGGCTTCACATAGGCGTCTTCTAATTGTAACAGTACTCACAGGTAACTTTAGACCTTCTTTGATCTTCCTGGAGCTGATTTTAGCTGAGCAGCCTATCATTTTCTGCACTTCTTTATATGTTTTCCCCTCTCCAATCAACTTTTTAATCAAGGTACGCTTTTCTTCTGAACAATGTCTGGAACGACCCATTTTCCACAGAATTTCAGAGAGAAATGCACTGTAACCAGCATGTACAACTTTTGCTGCCTTCTTTCCTTAAATAAGGGCAATAATTGCCACCTGTTTTTCAAAGAATGAATGACCTCACTAATAGAACTCCACACTGCTATTATTTTGAACATGCCCCTTTCAATTAGTGATTCAATTACACAGAATCAGCAGCATGCATGTCATGACTGTTGGGTCTGTTGTATTTCTATTACTCTACTACACACCTGCTAGTAGATTATTTGCCATGTAGAAATATAATTTCTACCAAAAACAGTGATTGATCATGTTAATGATGTCTGACTGCTATTATTTTGAACACAACTGTATATATATGGTTTTATAATGGACTATGTTAGAAACCTTAAAAATTTAGAGTTCAAAGATAAAGCTAGACTGACAGTCTTAGGTCCCAGCAAAATGACTCACACACTCTCTGGCCTCAAAAAAATGTTAACGTATTATATTATCTTGAGGCTTCAGATATACAGTAAGTCAGTTCTTTATAATAGATGCTATGTCTGCTTATCTTTGAATTGTGTATGCAAGACACTGAATTCATAAATAAATGAATTCATAAATACATAATTTATAAAAAGTTAACTGTGCATTTATCACTTAGATCCGTATCTCCAAAACTGTGGCTTAAAGCCTTACTCCTAAATAAAATAGCTTGAAAATTTTGAAAGTTAAGCTGGCATTTTTTAAATGTCTGTTCTTGGGGTTCAGATATACTGTACTTTTAAAGAGTAACTCCACTTTTGTTGAGAAATCTCAGTGATTTATGTACATTACAGGGATTTTAACAAACTTTGCTGCAGATTCCTACCTTTTGTTATTCTGAAGAAATAGCTGGTTTGTCTGTGTCCATGTGCAGAGTGAATCTTTATGGGAGTGATTTTCTATTTGTCAGTTGCTGAACTTTCTGGGCTCTCATGAGGAAAGGGGCGGGGTTTCCATCTCTTTTCAGATGTGTTTTCCTTTGGGAGTATCTCAACAAAAATGCCATTTTTGTTGCAGGGGATGCCCAAAATCTGACTTGTATATTAGTGCGGATTTCTAGGAAAATCGGTAAGCCAATCACACAAACAGGAAATGACATTTCTGGGGGGGGGGGGGTGTTCTCTACACCATCTGTTTACAGAATGCCTCCAGATTTGCCATATTACGTTACATTTTACAGAAATTACGTCACTGCAGATTGTACAGGAAAGGTAATTTTGAATGACATTCAATTACAATATGACTTGTGTCGCAATTGTATACACTAAATTATCTTTTTTTTTAATTTGCTATTTTTTTTTCTGTAAATACAGATCACACACTATATGTGTTTTTGTTTTTTTTAGCTTGAGGCCTGCTGCAGCAGTTAAAAATGTATCAGCTATAAAACGGCATGTGACTTTAATATTTATTCTATTGTAAAGCGCTGAGCAAACTGTTGGCGCTATATAAATCCTGTATAATAATAATTTAGCTTTGCTTGCAATATAATTGTGAATTATTTATTTCTGTTTTACAAAAAAAATGAAAATCACAATTTAAAGCAATGTTCACTCATTGTTTGTTGCTCAATGTGATCATATTGCTTTAGAGGGTAAATGCTAAGTGTATGGTTTGTTCTTGTTGAGAAATAATTGGGAGTCCCGCTGCTTTGCCAAGTATTTGTGGGTTATGGTTCTGCCTTTGTTGTGTGACTTTTTGTTCATGGAGTTAAAGTAATATTGGCCACCAACTAATACATAAGAAGAAGAAATGTCTTAGGTCTTTCTTATATGGTAAATAACCTGAAAGCAGCAAGCTGATGTTCTTGTTAGCTAAACAAATACATCACAACAGGTGACAAATCTGTCAGCTAAGTTTAGAGGTTGCCATGCTATGTAATGAGATGCAGAAGCCTGTGTGGTTCACTGACAGAGAACTGTCTGCTGAAAATGAAAATGTACACCTGTGTGTTTTATCTTTTGTAGTACAAGGAAAGGTTTACTCTTCTGGATGGAACAGTGAAGGACAGCTGGGACTTGGTGACACTACTGAAAGGGCAAGCTTTCATGAAATCTCCATCTTCTACTCTCAGTATAAAATCAAACAGCTGTCGGCTGGATCCAATACATCAGCTGCCTTAACTGGTAGGTGCCCTGTATTAACGCTTATTACCAACTGCCACATCTAGTGATCTGAAAGGTTCAGAAATGTTTTTCCTGTCATCGTTTTATGGAGTAATATGTATGTGTGAATGGAATAGACAGATGTTATGACAACCTCGAAATTAGAAATGATATCTTCGGAATGCTTCTTTTTCCAATGTAGCCAAGTAGCAGAAATTAAAGAACCCTTCTTAAGGTGCAGCTTTACTTTAAAGAGAAGCTGATAAATGGTTTTGTGACAATCCATTTTAACTGTCATGAGAGAGATTCAGAAACTACCACTGCTGACCTCTCTGAAAATGCTCTTCACTTTTCACAGTGACTTTTCACTTTTGTGTGTTATTTGGAGCTATTTTCTTTTTTACGGCTTCAAATCTGGTGCAATTTTTAAATTTTTCATAAGTTTTACAATCTGAAATTTTGCTAAAAAAAAATACTTGGAGCCCCCAAACCATGTTATATTTTTGGAAAAAAGAGACGCTGTACAATAAAATAGTGGCAGCTGCAATTTTTTTTTTGTTACACTATATTTGCACAACTGTTTAACAAACTCATATTTTGAGGGAAAAAAAAATAACTAAACAAACTTTATTGCACACAAACACAATATAATACCCACTTTTTTGGTAAAATTTAAAAGATTGGATTGTGTTGAGTAGATAGATACCAAATATGTCAAGCCTCAAAATTGTGAGTGATTAATGACAGGACTGAAAAATATCCATAGGCGATGCTTTAAAAGCCTTTGCAGGAAGCATCATTAAATTGCAGACCAAGTTATTGTCCCATCCGGACTGCAGCGGTCTTGCCATTTAGGGAGTACAGCAGCACTTATGGAGGGTGGAAGCCAGAGTTAACCAGCTGGTGATTCTCCAGTTTGTTAATTTGGAAAGTTAACGCCAGCAGTGCTGGGGAGGAGATGTTGAAGGAGGGGAAGTACTGTACGGGGTGGGTTCTGTGGGGAGGGGCTGATGTGAAGGGGACAGAGGACAGTACTGTGAGGAGGGGTGGGGGGTTGAAGACACTGCTGTGAATAAGGGGGTGGGGGGAAGGGATGTGAAGGGGACCTGAGAACACTACTGTGCAGGGGTAACTGTGTTGTGAAGTGGGGGACTGTAATGTGCGGGGGATTGAGCACACTGATGAAAGAACAGGATTGTGATGCAAGATGATGTGGGCTGTGATGGAAAGGATCTTACTCATCGCACAGAAATGCAATTTGGACCTCTACTGGAAGAAAATTTTACTGATTGGACCTCCATGAAATTCGATTCAATATCCCTGCTTTATGGGTTATCAACTTTAGAAGTTTTTTTTTAACCAGCTCCTGCCCAGCTTATTGTACTGTGACAGCCGGGTGGGACAGCTCTTGTGCTGGGAGGATACCATATGATGACATGTCACACGGCGATCGGTGGTGAGCTGTGTCCCTTGGACACAGTGCCTCACCGATCAGAGTAAACAGCCAGTGATGTTGTCTCTTTATATGTGACTGGACACAGCTGATCACATGATAAACGAATGCCGGTCATCAGCATTTCCTTTTCTCAGGGCTGTCACTGTCTGAGAAAAGGAAAGCTGATAACTGGGGACAGGGGACACAGCCATGGCCAAAAAAAATTGGCACCCCTGCATTTCTGTCAGATAATGCACCACTTCGCCCAGAAAATTGTTGCAGTTACAAATGTTTAGGCATTCTCATGTTGAATTTCTTTTGTTTGTATTGGTATGACACAAAAAAGTGGAGAAACAAAAAGTCAAATCTCACACATTCCAAACCCTAAAAGTGGACTGGACAAAATTATTGGCACACTCAATTTAATATTTGGTAGCATATCTCTTGGAAAAATGAACTGAAATCAATCGCTTCCTGTCAGTGAGTTTCTTACACCTCTGGTCTAAAACTGGAGTTTTGGACCACTCTTCTTTCTCCAACTGCTTCAGCTCTCAGATCAGAAGGGTTTATTTTCCCAGGTGCTGTTTTGAGATCTCTCCACAGGTGCTCTATGGTATTGAGATTTGGATTCATTGCTGACCAGTTCAGTACTCTCCAGTACTTTGTCTGAAACCATTTCTGGGTGCTTTTTGACATGTGGTTTGGGTCATTGACCTGCTGTAAGATCCATGACCTCTGACGGAGACCCAACTTTCTGACACTGGGCCCTACATTGCACCCCAGAATTCTTTGGAAGTCTTCAGATTTCATAATGCCATGCACGCAGTCAAGACATCCAGTGCCTGAAGCAGCAGTACAACCCCAAAACATCAGTGAACCTCCACCATGTTTGACTGTAGGGACTGTATTCTTTTCTTAAAAGGCCTCATTTCTTTTTCTGAAAACAGCAGAATGATAGGATTTACCAAAAAGCTGTAATTTAGTTTTGTCTGCCCACAGCACATCCTCCCAAAAGGATTTTGGCTTCCTCGTGTAAGTTTTGGCAAACTCCAATCTGGGTTTTTTATGTTTTTCTGTGTCAGCAGTGGGGTCCTCCTGGGTCTCCTAATATAGCGTCTCTTTTCATTCAGATGGTGAATTATAGTGCAAGGTGACACAGTTTTACTCTGTGCCTGAAGTTCAGCTTGAGTTTTTTTGGAAGTTGATTGAGGTTCTTTAGCCACCATTCAAACAATCCTTTGTTGTGGTCTTTGATCAATGTTTCCCTTTCTATGGATACATCCAGGTAGATTAGCCACAGTGCCATGGGCTGTAGACTTCTTGACAATGTTGCTCACAGTTGACACAGGAGCATTAAGATCTAATTGGAGATGGCCTTGTAACCTTGAGATTGTCCATGCTTTTCCACAATTTTTGTTCTCATATCCTCTGACAATTGTTTGCTGCTCTTTCTTTTCTCCATGCTCCATGTGCGACACACAGACACACAACAGAAGGGTTGAGTACATTTTTCACCATTTTCACTGGTTTCCGGTGTGATTTCTATATTGTCAGCACCTGCAAATACATGTGGGTTTAATTACAAATAACGGGAGCATTACAAACTTGGAATGCAATTATTTATTACAATTTTGAGATGGTCACTATAATTTTGTCCATTCCACTTTTGGGGTTTTGCATAGAATGTGTCAGATTTGGCTTTTTGTTTCTCCACGTTTGTGTCATATCAATACAAACAAAAGAAACATGAGAATGCCTAAACATTTGTAATTGCAACAAATTTTCTGGGCGAAGAGGTGCATTATCTGACAGAAATGCAGGGGTGCCTATATTTTTGTCCTTTACTGAATTTACACTGATAATTAGGACACTGATCATCAGTGCCCTGATAGTTGGGGCTAATCCGTGTTCATCAAAGCAGCATTTTTGTGCCTATTAGTGCACATCAGTGAAGAAGAAAAATTATTTATTTGCAAAATTTTATAACAGAAACAATTCAAACTTTTTGGCCTTTTTTTTGTTTAGCAAAAAAAAAACTGCAGTGGTGATTAAATACCTCCAAAAGAAAGCTCTATCTGTCTAAAAAAAATTATAAAAATTTAATTTCGGTACAGTGTTGCATGACCGTACAATTGGCATTCAAAGTGAGACAGTGCTGAAAGCTGAAAATTGGCCTGGGCAGGAAGGGGATGAAAGTGCCCAGTAGGGAAGTAGTTAAATTATTTTAATTTTATGTTGGTAAAAATTTGTATTTTTTTTAAACAGGTCTTCTTTATGGAGGCATCTGGGGTCTATTAGACCCCCATTGCCCTCCACTGCAGCTAATCAAGCGCAGATATTGTCCTGCCAATGCTCATTTTCTTCAAGTTCATTCATCACTGAAGAAAACAAGGAATGCATATTCCTAATCTCCTAACCCATTCATGTTTTCATGAGGGGCACCAGGGATGTCTGGCTAATAAAAGGTACCAAGCTCCCAGCTGCAGCTTGTTTTAACCACCTAAAGTCCAGGCCACTTATAAACAGCTTCATAGATAGCATGTGGTAACGTTAGAAAAGTATAGCCTTATAATCACAAAACAGTGTTATCATCTGTGTCCTTTTTAGCCAATGCTAACGCTGTATATTGGTCGGCAGCAGGACAGGGCAGATACTTTTGATGTGCTTGCTTTTTATAGCATGTTAAGTACAGTATGTGCCCTAGTATAAAAATTCACATATTAAGATCACTTTCACAAGAAGTGCGATTTCAGCCCCATTTTTTTTGAATGGACTGAAATTGCACTGCACCAAAAGTAGTGCATATACTACTTTTTGAAACGCACGGCAACCAGATTGCATGGTACTCTTGTTCCATGCTATGCGATGCGGGCAAACATACTGCATTTGCGATCTGTGTTTGGTGTGTCGTTAACTTTGCACTGGTACCCACTGCAGATCACAAGGACAGTGCAACTGGAATGTGATGCAGGAAGCCGCACAGGAACGTTGCTTTCCTGCATTGCGTCCTAGTGTAAAGGGCCCTAAATGCTGCACAGTCAACCCACATCCAATATTTCGTTTTTTGGCAGACGTTTGTGGATGCATGTTCCTATATTTCCATGGAGCTTCATTGGTGAGATCTCAATGCTTGAAATCCTGGGTCTGCACATTGGAACAGGAGGAGCTGGAGCATTTCCAGGTTGACAGGAACATTGAAAATTTCCAGGACAGAAACACAGGCAAGAACTATGGAAGAAAGGTCTCACTGTTGGAGTATCCAGGACTTAAAAGAAACCGTGGGTCTGATTCAGTCCTCTGGACTTTTCCTATTACTAACATTACACTTTTGGATGGGCTTACTCTTTAATGTGACTTAAACCTTTTTTTTTTTTTTTTTTTTTTTTTAAATATTAAACATGTTATACTTACCTGCTTTGTGCAATAGTTTTGCATAGAGCAGCCCTGGTCCTCCTCTTCTGGGGTCCCCTGTCTGTGCTCTGCTTCTCCTCTTCTGCGTGTGCCCCCGTAGCAATAGGAAGAAGGGCAGCCGCACACCGGAGGATAGATGAATATAGTGTGTATTTATTAATCCATAGGACACACA